CAAGTGCCTTCCCCGCCGGCCCAGCCGCCAAAGATGCCCCGGGGGTTCCTGGTGAAAAGGAACCGGAGGGCCACGCCGATCTCCTACCGGGTCCGTTGCGGCCAGGAGGGTGAGCCTGAGCTGCTGCTGTTCGCCGGCGGCCAGCAGCGCTGCTCCCAGCCCCTCCCCTGCGCCGGCCTGGATCCGGCGGCCCCCGCAGCGCCCCGGGAGCCGCCGCCGCCCCCGAAACCCGTGCAGTTCGGCACCCCCGAGGCCGCGTGCCAGGCGCTGTACAGCCCCACCCGGCCGGTCAGCAAGGAGCACGAGAAGAAATCCTTGGAGCGCAGCTTCAACCTGGGCTCGCCGGTCTCCGCAGAGTCCTTCCCGGCCCCGGCGGTGCCCAGCACCATGGACCCGCTGCTCTTCGCCCCGGCCGAGCTCAAACTGTGGGTCTCCTCCTCCAGCCCCGCGGAGACCAGCGGCCCCCAGCGCAGCACCCCGAGCGACCCCCACAGGGACACCCACTGCAGCGCCCAGGGCATGCCCAGCAGCACCCACAGTGACACCCACTGCAACGGCCAGGCGAGCGCCGGCACCCGCAGCCTGTCCGCCCTGCTGCCCCCCTCCGCCTCCTCGGGCCGCCCCCAGCCCAAGCGGCCCCCCGCCGGCTCGGAGCCCGGCAAGCACAAGCCCCCGGCCGCTAAGAAAGCCAAAGCCATCCGCAAGCTGAACTTCGAGGACGAGGTGACCACGTCGCCGGTGCTGGGGCTGAAGATCAAGGAGGGGCCGGTGGAGCCGCCCCGGGCGCGGGGGGCGGGCGGGCCGGGCCCGCGGCCGCTGGGCGAGTTCATCTGCCAGCTGTGCAAGGAGGAGTACGCCGACCCCTTCGCCCTGGCGCAGCACAAGTGCTCGCGCATCGTGCGCGTGGAGTACCGCTGCCCGGAGTGCGACAAGGTCTTCAGCTGCCCGGCCAACCTGGCCTCGCACCGCCGCTGGCACAAGCCGCGGCCGGCCCCCAGCGCCCCGCCGCCGCCGCCGCCGGCCGCCAAGGCGCCCGAGGAGCGGCCGCCGCCCAAGGAGGCCGGAGGCAGCGGCAGCGAGCGGGACACGCCCAGCCCCGGGAGCGGCGGCGGCGGCGGCGGCTCGGAGTCCGGCTCCGAGGAGGGGCTGTACGAGTGCCCCACCTGCGCCCGCCGGTTCCGCCGCCAGGCCTACCTCCGCAAGCACCTGCTGGGCCACGAGCCGGGGCCCGGCCCGGAGAGGCCCGGCCCGGAGGAAAGCCCCAGCCCCGGCCCCGGCGCGCCGGCTGCCAGCGAGTGCCACCTGTGCCCGGTGTGCGGGGAAACCTTCCCCAGCAAGGGCGGCCAGGAGCGGCACCTGCGCCTGCTGCACTCGGCGCAGGTCTTCCCCTGCAAGTACTGCCCGGCCACCTTCTACAGCTCGCCCGGCCTCACCCGCCACATCAACAAGTGCCACCCCTCGGAGAACCGGCAGGTCATCCTCCTGCAGCTGCCCGTGCGCCCCGCCTGCTAGGCCGTGCCTTCGCCCCTCCTGCCCCCCGGGCTGCAGCCTGGCAGCTGCCTCGGACCGGCTTCGCCCTGCAGAGCCGAGCTCTCCAGGACCCCGGCTGATCCCCCCGCCCCTCCTCCAGCGCCTGGTTTATTTATAGATGAAAACAAAGGGGCTGGGGGGGGGGGGAGTAATAATAAAATCCACTTGTGCCAGTGTCTCCTTGGTGGTGATTCCTCCGTCCTTGCTACTGTAGCTCAGTCTCTGAAAAGCAGCCCCTCTTTGATCGCTAGCGGGATCGCGGTCCCCTTAGGAAGTCTCTCTGGTTTTCCTCTGCCCCCATCTCTCTGTGTACGTAGCCTAGGGGTTGGGTGGGTTGTTGGTTTTATTTTTATTTTTTAAAGTCAATCTCGAAGAATAATGCCTTTATATTTCACAGGCTGTAAACTGAATTTACCACATGATTAGCTTTATTATGGCTTGTGAACTGCTGGAAGCTGGCTTTACACCCCCACCCCCTTTTATGTGAACAAATAAAACTGCTTCATTTTGTTTTCTTTAGTATAGCCACAAATGCCTTGACTCTACTGTTGATGGTCTCCAGAATATGCTGTAGAAACTGCCTTAAATATTACCTGCCAACTTTCTTTTTTCGATTGTTTGTCCTTAGCGAGGTAGAATCACGAGCTGACTATATGTATATGTTGATTTGAGTAATTGTTATTTATTCTTTATTTATTTATATTATGAAGATTGATATTATTTTGATCGTGAATATTTTGATGCGCTTTTCCCCTTCCCCGTCCTGCCATTTCACTGTGCATTTTAGAAGAAGATCTTGTTCTAAAGGGATCTGCTAAAAGGTTTTAACTTTTCTACCTAGAATAACACACAATCTTGACCATTTTATCCTGCTCCAAGGGCGCAGACAGCTCTTGTGCAACCGACAGCTCTTACTTTTAGATGCAATCTCTTTTCTACACACATTATTTTCTTAACTGTTAGCTATTTATAGAATGCTTCAATAGAACTGTTTCAACTGTATAACTATTTACTATTCAAATAAAATATTTTCAAATTCAAGTACACATCCTTTCACGTCTCATATTTCTCATTAATCAAAGCCTTCCTACTTTTCTTTAACGAAGACTAATCTATTCATTTAAGCTTAAAAGAAGGAAGAGCTTAACAGAGCCCGCTGTGGTATATAAAATATCACTCTGGTGATTATTTTTCACACACCCTCCTTTGAAGGCGCTCTGAGTGACTTAGCAAGCTAAAACCTAGGCAGCCTAGTTACACCTTCCCCTACAGCTTTAAACCCGCCAAGAAGAACGAAGCTCTTTAGGCATTTGCTAAATCGTTATTTCTTTGAGCGCGCAGCTTGGGAGACCAGAGGAGTTTGTCCATCGTTTGGTAAAATTACCAGGAAGCAAATTACTGTAAACCAACGCTTTACAAAGGGGAAGGGCTAAAGCTGAGGTCAGGCTGGCTAATCCCCTTTCTCTTGCTAATTGACAGTTCCTCACCGAGGGCTGCCTCATGGCCTGGGCCTGAATCAACCAACACGTTAGCTCCAGCCCCAAATCACAAACACAGTAGAGCTAATGTTTTTTTATTAAAAAAACCAACAGCCCTCTGTTGTAACGATCAGCGCTAGCATATGGCTTGTGAGCGCGCTCAGCTGATCCGTGGCGAAGGTGAAAGTGAGCGCTCCAGACTTCAGCCATCTCAACTTTCAGTTCACTAGTGCCAGGGTCTAACCACCGGCATAGCCCCATTGCAGAAACCTTCACCCGCTCGGCTTCGGGGCCCCAGGTGAGAAAGTTTACTCTAAAGCACTTCCTATTCTCGCCTCGCGGGGGGCGGGGGGAGCTAGATACATGCACTGCCCACCACATTGAAACTACTGGCCGAAGGGTTTGGAGCCGAACAGAAACAGCGGGAAATCACGGTGGAGACACTCTCAGGGTAAATCTCACTTGTTTTGTTTTCCCCCGCCACCAGCAGAGCGACTGCCCTTAACCCTGGCTGGAATTAATTCTCGTCAGGGCTAGTCCTTTTAGCTGCGTTTCTGCTACAGTCCGGAGCGCATCACAAGCAAACACGCGGCTCCCTCCTTCATGTCCCTTTTCGCGGCTCGCCCACCTGCCATTAACCTAGCGCTCCCCCCCCCCCCCCCAGCGGATTCAAACACCCAGGAGTGAAGCACGGAGAAAATAGCATCACCCCCACAAAGGCGACCGCTTTGAGTCCTGATCTGCAAGGGGCCTTGCAGTGGAGACCCACCCTCCAGGGGAGCTGCATTCACAGACTAGCCCTCCCGCAGAGCAGCCTAGATTGCACACGTACTCCCAACCTCCTGCCCCAGCCCTGCATACAATTTCCCCACCCAGATGTGGCCCTCGGCCCAAAAACTTTGCCCACCCCTGGATTACACTGTCAGTATGGGCATTGTAGGCTTACTTCTGAAAGCCAGTAAGCAGGACAGTGTCTACACTGACACTGAGTCGCTGTAACTACTTCAACAGTATGTTGCTCATGGAGGTGAAGTTATACATAGCAGGGCAGTTATGTCGGCAAGAACCAAATCTAAGTGTAGACACTTCCATAGTAAGGTAGACCAGACCTCAGTTGCTGGGGGTGCAGGCTCTGGGGTGGGGTTGGGGATGAGGGACTGCAGGGACATGTTTCCACTTCTAGGAGCTGTGCAGAGCCATGGCAGGCAGGGAGTGAGGGGGCATTCTGGTAGAAAACCAGACACTTGGCAACCCTAACACACGCCCCTAGAAAGTGCTTTTCTCATCTCCATGCTTCTATTGCCACATTGTAATCAGTCTCAGATAGCATTTTGGGGGCGTGATCTGTTGCATCTGGAAAATTGCATATTCAAGCCATAAATGTTTTCTTCTGGCATCTATAAATGGAGAGCAGATGGGCCTGAGGGTGAGTGTTGACATGCATCTTCTTGTTTTATGATTTGTACATAGTGTTGTTTGATTATTGAGATTTCCATGTAACCTATCAGTAACTGCCTTTCCTTGTTGTTAGGTGCACGTGCCCATGGTGACAAGCCAATCTGGTCTAGTGAGAATGCACACCAGGATGATATTTAGGCACATATCCACTGATAAAGTACAGTCTTCTGCAGCATCCTCTCTCTCAGGTACTATGTACAGGTTTTAAAAAAAAATCCAAGGGTGGGATTTTCAGAAGTGCTCAGTGTTGTCCTAACTTTGCTTCCACTGCAGTCAAATGGGACCAATAAATTAGTGCGCCAGAACAGTGTAAAGGGGCCTTAGGGTAACTGAGAATTAAGACTTAAGTGTTTTACTATAGAGTTTACAGTATAATTTAAATTGTATTTCATTACTTGGAATATCACTGTGGTTTTCTTAAGGCTAGTTTTGGTAAAGTATCAGCACATTTGGACTTGACGCATCTAGCGCATTTCATCCAAGCATCTCAAACCTACACACACACACACACACACACACACACACACACACACGTCAGATTACAGTTTTAAATACTTTTAATGAAACTTAGTTCACTGTAAAACTCACATAACAAAGATTTCAGATTTGCATCATAAAAATTTTTGATATGTTAACAAGAAGGATGGGCACTTCAAGCATGGGTTTTCATCTTACAGATGTTATAATACAGGTAAATGCACCAAAACAGGACATTGTAGCACCTGCTTTTTATAACTGAACAGATGATCTTATGCAGTCTAAGATATGTATAGACATCCCAATGTGACTGTACTTCTGGATTCTGATTTTTCCATTATTGTTCAGCATTGAAGCCAAGTCAAGACTAAAACCATGCAGAAAGGAGTTCCACATCTTCCATGTAACCCCACTGCAGAATACAGCACTCTCATAATCAATACATTTTGCCTAGTGACATGTCAGGTGAGGTAAGGTAACATTGGAAAAGTTTTCAGAATGCACGCTTCAGTTATGAAACTTGATTTTAAATGGTTCTCCTGTAACAGTAAGTGCCTACTCTCCAGCATAATACACCTTTGCCTAACATTACTTTTAGAAAAGGATCAGTTACTATTTCTAGAAAAGAGAAAACTACTTTGAAGCTAGCATAGTCTAGTATAAATAAACACACATTCAATATTTTTCACAATGCCCTGGGAATTTAAATGGATTAGTGCAAAATGTTAATTTTACATCACCTTTCTTCTTAAGTTAGAAAGTTGACTTCTTTTTCCTTAATCTACCCACAAAACTATTTCAAAGCAAAGCAAAGCTTCTCTCCTATCTCTTAATTGCCTGGCTTTTGTCAGTTTAAAGCTGAAAGTCCACTAGAAGTTTGGATCACTGTAGTAACTGATGACATATCTGCTGTAACACCAAGGTACAGCAGAGTAGGTTAACGGCATACATCAGCGACAGTTCATACGTTGTTGGGTTAAGCCAGCATTTTACTGCTCTTTTCTATAGTTTTTCATTTGTAAATTAAATATTAGTTCAAAAGAAAAAAAATCTCAAAATGTCTGGCACCTCCATCTGGTGGGTACTTAGATTCTTTTTAACAATGCTATTTACTTGGCAGACTTAAGAGGTTTGGTCTATTGTATACATTTCTATTTAGGGACATTTATGCTATTATCATTAATCATACAGGCCCTGATTCAGGGTACACAAATGTTCAAGACAAGCACATACTTAAGTGCTTATGTTCACCTTTACTCTGTGAAACATTTAAAGCACAAGTAGCCCCACTGACTTCAACGGAACTTCACATGCCCGATCCAAAGCCAATTCAAGTCTATGGAAAGAATCTGCATCAACTTGAATGGGCTTTAGCTCAGGTCCTCTGTCTGGTGGCAAGTGTTTGTAGGATCAGGCCCATAATCATTAGAGGACTCAGTACTGATCTTCACTATCTGGGTGATCGTTTAAGCAATAAGGATCATGATGTGGGTCATTTCTCAGGGAGTGATGTAAATGGGAGAAGTTAATGGCCTGAAGCACAGTTAAGAGACCCTAGGTGATCATTAAACCTGAGCATCAAACTTATTGCTATTTTGCATGCTGAAAAAGAAAAGAAAAATCTCATGGGTGGAGAGACTTGTTATGGATCAAATAATGATACAGTTTCAATTGGAACATACAATTAATGCCCTGTAAATTAGCCAGCACTGCATTCACATTACAGTACTGTTCATCTTACAGAATTAGCGACTGCTCACCTCTGTGCAAGTGCACTAGCTCAGGCATATGGCAATGTGGACTAGAGTATCTGAAACCATTCTTCAGCTGTTCATGTCTTTTGACTACTCAAATGGATTAGTTAAGAATGGCCATAGTGGGTCAAACCAATGGTCCATCTAGCCCAGTATCCTGTCTTCCAGTGGCCGTTGCAAAATGCTTCAGAGGGAATGAACAGAAAAGGGCAATTTCGAGTTATCTATCCCCTGCTATCCAGTCCCAGCTTCTGGCAGTCAGAGGTTTAGGGACACCCAGAGCATGGCGTTGTGTCCTGGATCTTGGCTAATAGCCATTGATGGACCTATCCTCCAGGAACTTATCTAATTCTTTTTTGAACCCAATTATAATTTTGGCCTTCACAACATTCCCTGGCAATGAGTTCCACAAGTTGACTGGACATTGTGTGAAGATGTATTTCCTTATGTTTGTTTTAAACCTGCTGCCTATTAATGTCATTGGGTGACCCCTGGTTCTTGTGTTTTGTGAAGGAATAAATAACACTTCCTTATTCACTTTCTCCATATTATTCATAATTTTATAAACCTCTACCATATTTCCCCTCAGTTGTTTCTTTTCTAAGCTGAATAGTCTCAGTCTTTTTAATCTCTCCTCATATGGAATCTTTTTTGTACACCTAATCATTTTTGCTGCCCTTCGCTGTACTTTTGCCAATTCTTATATATCTAACATTAACCCACCCAAATGTAAACATCAAAGATATTCTGGAGCCATACAAGAGCAAGATACTCCTGAATGAATGGCGGGCAACAACCTCCTGATAATAGGCGTGTTTCTGATGGGAACGTTGACATATACCAAGACAGTAGTAACAATGTTAAGACCCTGATCCTGCAAAGACTTAATAGGTGCTAACTTTTGACTTAAATAGGTGTGCAAGTTTTTGCAGGGCTGGGGGGGTCTCTCCCTTTTGATCAACTAAATCTCATGCATGTTACATGTATATAGGGAAAGGAAAGATGAGATTTTCAAAAGCACAAAGAGAACTTAAATGCTCAAATTCCATTGAGGAGGTGGTTTGCTAACTGCCCTTTGAAAATTTCCCTCTTATTTCTTAAAACATATCAAATATTTTTTTTAAACAAATTAAGGTCCCTGACCTGCAAACACTCATGTGTGAATAGCCCCACTGAACTCAGTGGGACTACTCATGTGTGTGTGTAGTCACTCACATGTGAAAAAAGTGTGCACAGCATCAGGGCCTTCATCCCCATCAGTGCTGGAGAAAACAAATGTTTTACACAGTCTCACTAACAATTTTACAAACAAAATTACTTTAGAATTCATCTCCTGCTGTGTAGGATTAACTTTCCATTTCAGTATCAAAAGTTCACCCAAAGGCTATTTAAAAGAGAACTCTCTCACCCCCTAATCTCTCCAATATAGACACTAGGGGGTCCTTTTCCCCACCAACAAACAAATACCCCCATAGCATTCCCATTATGACTGAGAGAACTGACCCCCTTCATTTTCCTATGTAAACTCTCTGTAGAGTAGAAAATCAACAGTAGAAAGAGATCATTTTGAATGTTCATGTAAATCACTCTGCAACAAGGTGTTATGAGGCTTAGAAGAGGAGGAACTCTCATTAAGCATTTCTTACACTGAATGGTACATAAATAATGTCTTTGGGGGTTGGTAATGGTCTGTAATTATTATTAGCAAAATGCTGCAAAACCCCCTTCAGAGGAAGCTGAAGATAATGCCATTGTTGCACAGCCTCTGCTGGTTCAAACCATGCCAGAGGCTACAGCTGAGAATGCTTGCCAGGTTCAATACAGTGAGAGTGCTCTCATGAGGGCCTCACTTCTGCACTTATCCAAAGGGCCATTTCTTTGAAAATATTGATCAAATGTACTTACTACTGGCAGCTGAGTGCTGCAATGAATGCTCCTAAATATCATCCAGAGAAAGGGTATCAGTGGCAATGCTGGCTCTAAGTTCAGTAGTCAAAGATCCTTTGGAGGAGGCGAGGCTTACAGACAGCAGGGGGAGGGGCAGGGGATGAAAAAGGAGCAAATTTCAGTCTGAATTGCCTATGTGCATCAAGGACACAGCCATCTGTGTGAATAAAATATGTAACATTCCAATGAAGAATCATTTTGATTACCTTGAGTACCCTGTCTGGGCCCAGTTTGGAACTCCTCACTCAGGCAAATCTCTCTCTGACATATGGATGGTTAGGGGCCTTGCTGAACATTTCACTTGAAGGCAATCCAAGAGCTATACAGCTTTGCCCAAAAGGGGAGAGAGGCTTTGCTAATTGCAGCAGATTGCATTTTGGACTTTAAAGCATTATGTCAAACATTATTAGTTGATGATAAGGATCAGACTCTGTATTCCTAGTGAATACACCTTGCTCCCATGAGGAGTTCTTATCAAGTCTGATAGGGTGAATTCACCCCTGGGGACTCTCTTTGATTTTGATACAGTCACATGAGGGATGACTCTGACCTTCCTTGTGTGAGAGTTGCATGACTCAGGCCCAAAACAATCTGAGAAACCAACTTTCTCAATCAAGTTCTAAGAGGAGCAAAAGTTGTAACTGCCCTATCCAGTGAAAGTCACCAATAGGGCTGTTTTCACTTTCTCCCAGAAATCATCCTAGCACGTATTAAATGGCTTCAAGCGAGGCAGTGCCTAAGAAGCTAAATAATCTGGGACATGGTTTCTGAACAATCACAGGATGCGACATGAGTGCATCATTTGTGCACGGGATTACACAAGTGTGCATTGTGGAGTTTGTACCTTCTTCTTTCATTCAATCTCAAACTAAAAGCACAAATGCAGATGTGATAACATTTCAAAGCCTTTTAAGGGCTGGACTGTGCTTTCTAAGCCATTAGCCACACTGGGGGACTGAGGAAAGGCTCCAGCATAGCATGAACCCCAGATGGAAATTCAACTGGGGCTCTGGAGAAGCACATGCTGCAATGACGCATTGCCACTCTGTTTAAAGGTGCAGCATGTACTGTGCTCCATGCCAGGCCAGCATGGTTGCCGGGAGTGGGATGCTCTTACCCTTCACCCTTTTGGGAAGTTAGTATTGCTGTCAGCATGAGCTGGGCACAGTGCCTATGCTCTCCACTGGGATTGTTCTTGGCCCCTGCCCAGGAGTGTAAGGGAAGGCAAGGCTCTCTGCATCATCACATCTTTGGGCATCTTTGCCACTGGCCCTTAGGTCTGATCATCACCTAGACCGTAGACTAGTAAAGGATTAGTGTGGTACGTGACACGTTGGAATCCAGTCTCAGAGGGGACAGTTTATTTTCTGAAATTCCACTGTTTGACTTTCGTGAGGATAATGAACTGGGAAGATTGTTTGGTATGTTCAGAGACAAGAAAATTACAAAGCACAGCCATTTCCACTTCACCTGCACAGTTCCGTATACTGGACATTACAAATGGGCCCAATAGGAGAACATATAAAAGATTGAGGCTCTTCAAGCATCCTTTTCTAGTAAAAGCAACAGGAGCCCTGACTTTATAACTTGTGATAAAAGCAAAGCCACTGTTGTGGAAATATCCATGTAACCAGTTGTATATTAGGAAAACAGACTCCCTTCCTAATGAGCGGAGACTTCAAGTGTTGTATCTTATTGGTTCCTGGAGGCATTTTTAAAAGACTCACAATTCTCCTGCTTTACTAGAGGATGCAAAATTGCCCCTTCACGCTGAAGACTGCGGCATTTTGAAGGAGGGAAGCTTCCTGAGTTTTCTAAAGATACCATGATTGTTCCCTCCGTTGTTAGAATACAAGCATTTACAAAAGAAATATTGCATAAGCACAATTCACTTATATTATATGACTACCCTTACACTTTGGGAAAGGTATCTACCCAACACACATGAAGGTATATCTAGGTTATATATAAAATTCCTGGATGTCTTGTTTTTGTAAATTATCTTTCTGACAACTGAATGGTAAAAATATATCCACTACAGCACCTTAGCCAAATGACAAATGGAGTTGCACTATGGTAATAAGGTCTTGCATCACAACAGCACACACTTCTGGAGTGTTTTATTTCCCCAGTTAAGGGTACTATGAAGCAAACTGTCAAGAGAACTGGAGTTGGAGAGAATTTTCAGCCACAGCTGTTGTAGAGTTTGGTCCAACACAAACTGAAAAATATCTTTAGTCTCATCATTTATAAAAGGTGACCCCCTCACCCCAAAGTTTTACCAACTATTTTTAGACACTAGTATTATTGTCACTGTATGCAAGGGTTAATTGGAGGTCTTCTCATGTCATCAGATACTGAAGATGTTCTGGAGATTTCCCTTGAATATTGAAATGAGCATATTTGTAATATTAGTTTTCAAATTTCTAGGAAACCTTATGGAAATACAAATACTGTTATGATGGGGGCAGGGAGTGAACTGTCCTTAGATTACATGAAATCTAGTTGTTGGTGTTTAATTATGCCAAATGGAACCTGGACTAGGCAAGTATGTTGCCGGGTAGCTGAACAGTTTTCACTGATAAAAGCTAAACAAAAACTTCCATCTGTCAGAAGCCAGCTCATTTGTAAAGTATAATACACTCTTACAAAATGGGTCTGATCATCCTGTCAGGTGACTTCTCAAGGACCTGCATGTGCAGATGTGATGGAACAGTCTGGTCCCCTGTACTTTTATGGATTAGCAGTGTACTTGTCTGTCTGTCAAGTCTACAATAGGCCAAATTCACCAGTGGCTTAAGAATGGTGTAAGCAGGACAGAAAAAAGGTACAACTCTTTGGTATTCAGCAGGAGTCCAATTTACCCTCCCACATCCTACCTAACATCCTCATGTTAGCAGTTCTTCCTGCTATACAGCCCATTCTGCTACTCAGCTTCAGTTACAGGAATGCCAGATCTGTGTCAGTTACATTGTTTTACCACTTACACCAGATATGTAACTTATTTCACCATGGAAGTCACTAATGAAATTGTTCGGAGCTTTCCATGAGAATTGCATTTATTTATACCAAGTCTGAATTTTGGCCAATAGCTCTGTTCTCTTAGCCAAAATGCAGGTGGTCAAAAATGGTGCAGGTAAGCAAATGACACTCTATTGTATCCATATTCATCCAATGCATTCAAATCTACATTTATTACTGTAATACTGGAAATAAAATCCATTGCCACAGGATCAATGTACCTTGTTTTAACTTGGCATCTAAACAAAGGACCAGAGTAGCTGTATATATCACAAAGATACATTTTTTACATTTAACATATTTTAAATCAGAATTATGCAGTGAACTGAGATTTAACAGATTTCTGAGGAGTTAAGAAAAGGGTGTACTTGTTTGTTTTATACTACCGAAACCCTCAGATTCTAATTTTCATTTTTTAAAGAAGAAAATACACTTTTTTATAACAGGGAAATAATAATTCTGCGCTTTCATTCTTCCCTGCATTAGAGATTGGTGTCGTTTTAGAAGGAAATATTTTGTCTCATTCAGAAAAATGCTCTTTGAGCTACTCCACCTGGTGTGTATTTGACACACATTTTACTGGGTAACTAAGCACAGTAACTCCTTACCCAACAATGATTAAAATGAAAACACATTAGATAATGCAATACACATTTTTTTCTAACTTATTTTATAGACACACAATCAGAAAGTTGCAAAGAACAAGGTTTGAACAGAAAGTCAAATGGCAATCAGAAATGTCAGCAATTCAATTATGCTCTGTGCCAGGAGGCTGGCTGCATTTACCTGTACATGCTAGCTAGTGTAGACTATGTACTAACATCACAAGTAACAATTTCTAGTTTCTGCTCTGGATAATGAGTGCATCCCATTTTAATTTTTCCTGATAAACTGGTTACCACTAGAACCCAAATAAACTAATACAAAAAGTCAATAACAAAATGCCAAGCTATAACTTATTACTGTAAAGATTTATCAAATAGCATTCATTATTTACAGAGAATAAGCACAGATCACTGTGAACGTGAAAATAAACATTCACTTAATGTATACACAGAAACTGAGTGCAAAAACAAAAAGCCCAAATAAAAATGGCGACCCAATGGTGCATTTAGCTTTACTTAAAGTAGCTCCCCTTCAGTTCAGGTAAGAAGTCACATTAAGTTTTTCAGGTGTGCATCCAGCTTAATAAACACAAACAAACAGAGACTATGTTAACTAGACCTGAGGAAGATTAGGAAGATTACAGGGGTATGATACAAAAATCAGACATATATACTAACACTAGTAGCCAAAATGTCAAAAAACAAACTTACGGTAACGTTAGGTGTCTGACAACTGCCCCCTGTCTCTCCATCAAACAAAAAAAGGGTCAGGAAATTCAGTTTTGAAACTCCGCCATTTCATACCCTGTTGTTCCTAGGTATTACAGCATTATTATATGGAAAATCAACTTCTGTTTACAGACCTTTGCAATACAAAGTCATAATGGATGACAGAATTTCAGCCTTAAATCTGAATTCCCTACCTTCTATTAAGTGTTTAAGTGGTTACAGTGTGTGTCTCTTATTTTCCTTGCTTTTATGGTAATATTAATTTTCTAAAAGTACAAAAATTTCCCCTTAACTCCTCAAAACCACTATTCACTGAAGTTGTACTGAGGTTTTTTTATATCCAAAACATTTGCACAATATGCAGATCACCAAAAGAACACAATGTAATGTATCCTGGGAAGGTTATTACAATATCTAGGACTAACTAGGGATACTTTAATTTGCAGATTATTGCGCTGTTGATGTGCTATGTCAGTGTGGCTACTGAGGATGTGTACTGGCTCCCAGTTACACAAATCTGGTTGAAAAGTAGTTATTGCAAATGTGCAATATTTGCTTTTCTAAATGAAATCACTGGTCATTTTATTTTTTTCACACAAACAGAAAAAAGTGATTAGCTCACATTATGCATTAATCACATGCAACATTTCATATGACAAAATGACCCTATGTCCAAAGATAGTGCTGCAAAAGAAGATTTCTATCAAAAAATAAATGGACAGACACAAACTAAAATGGTATGAACCCAAACTGTACAGGTTAACATCTCTAACCTGTATTACATTTTATGGTATAAGTATGAATCTTTGTTAAGATACCAGAAAAGCCCAAACCGCAAACCCTTAAATTTACCAGCATTGGCATGTGATGGTTATAACCAACAATAAGAGATAGAATGCAGGGGTCCTAATTCTGCTCTCTGGGATGTTAATATGCAGCATCCCACAAAGGGCCCAATCCTGCGGGGGTCAGCGCAAGCTCAATTTCAGGATTTTACTAAATGAATGGGGACATGCACCCTTGAATAAAAGGGCAAGATTAAGCCAAGTGACTTTAATCCAGGTCTTGGTGATTTATGCAATTAGCAGCACTTTCCTAGATTACAAATAAATTACTTAAAACAGCTATTTGATACTTATGGTTTTTATGCACAAAAACTGTACTGGGGTATCAATTCAAAACAGAAAAGGAAGGGAGCACTTGATGACATACTGAAAAGCACCCAAGTCATTCACCCACACTTAAGAGAAAAAGTCCATCATGTTTAATTAAATGAAAACTTGTTTTCCATTTAGACAAAATTTGCTAATATACACACAGGTGTTAAACTATCATTGGAATGATTAAACGATCAACACAATGAAAGTAAATTAAATAATTGGTTTCAATACTTGCTTTGCATCCTCTTCCTGTGACAGCTGTACTTGCATCTACAGATTCTAAGGGAAAATAAGTGAGTTACCCCACATCAGTTAAATGCCTCACACACTGAAAAAGATCCAGTTTTGACATAGTTATTTTGGTGACAACAATAATCAAGTGTAATGCATGACAGGTAAATCAAGTGATAGCTGTCCATCAATAATTTAAGTTTTGCCACATAAGGGAACTGTACACTTCCTTATATGCTCATCCAAAGCATGTAGCAATGTTCTAGTGATACAGTAAATTATTTTATTCCGATTTTTTTTTCAAATTCCCTTGAATAGGCTTCCCTTTCCAAAGTGCTTTAATTTGAAGATTTGCTGAGAGCACTAGCAGAGTGCCGAAGTTTCCCAGAGGCTTTGTTTTTCGTGGCATTGGGTAGTGTTGGAGAGGTCTGCTCTGCTAACTCTATTCCTGTGGTTACAGTAAGATCAGCACTTGCACTCATAGTGAGACAGCCTGAAAAGCAAGTGGGCAAAGAAAATAAAAAAGTATTATTAGAACAATAGAATGTGTCCAATGACAAAAGTGCTTCCTAAGATACAAAAAAGAAACCAAAATTCATCCCGTACGACTCCACTGAATTGACCAGAGTTGCACTAGGAATATGTTTGGCCCAAGGAACCTAACGGTTAAGAAGAATGAGCTTCTCATACATGGTAAGGAGGCTAGTATTGGCTGCTTCCAGAGAAGGTAACAAAAGACTAGGTTGTGACTTGAACTAAGTGCCCAGGCAGGGGAGGTCGAACCTTCTTTACACCCCTCTGCTGGCTACCCAGACCTTGAGACTGAGAGTGCAGGAATGAGCAGATGCTGCCTGCGCCAGCTCCTCCCCCACCCCAGAGCAGGTGTGTGGGGACGGGTGGAGGAGTGGGTAGAGTCTTGGCTCCACTCTCTCAAAGTGCTGGCCAGTTCAGCTGAGCTGGCACAGAGGCTATATAATTTACTGCTGCCCCCTGAAGCAAGGAAGGAATTGTGTGGGACTCAGAGGAGTGTTTCTGGGTCACAGTGTCTCTGGGGTCTACTCCTAGGTTGGTGCTTCAAGGTACAATATAGCACTAAATCTCCCTCTTGCACATGTATTATTAAAAGTGCTAGTTTTTGTTTTGTGTTTCACTGAATGGCTCTGCAGTATTTAATTTCTCTGTTTCTGAGGACTGAAAATTAGTTTCCTTAGTATTACTATTTCTGATCATACTACAACAGTAAGGTGCCTTAACTGCTAATGCTGAAGAGAAAAAAGCAACGTATTTTTAAACAATTCCATTAAGGAAGCCGTAAACGAAATCACCATAATTTCTGTTGTATTCAAGAAGGCTATTTAAGAACTTTATGCAAAGCTTAGCAAATCTCTGTTGGCTACCATATAGTCCACATGTATTTACACTTTGTTATTTTACACATTTAAGTTACAACTCATTCATTCCCAAAAGGTGATTACAACTAGAGGTCAGGACCAAATAGCTTGTCTGAATGAGAACAGATGAGGACACAGACATTAAACTCAAAAGTAAATGAATAATATTAAAGCATGTGTGCAACTCTTGTCTTTCCCCAGTGCAATTATAATCATGCTCTGAGGAATACAAAAATGCATGCTGCAACACAGTTCTGTTGTTGCTACTGTCGTTTTGACTTGTCCCAGGACATTTCTGTAAGCGTGAATGCCATTTCATCAGCTCTCTCCTGGTGCAATATTTTTAAACAATGGTATAGTTCTCCCTGTAAATCCTCAATACAAATATTTTTATTAGAGATGGGACTGAAGCAAAGCCCCTTATCCAAACACCTCCAAACCTCTGGGGATGGAGGAGGAAGATTCAGAATCCAAACTCAAATCTGGATCTAAACTTCACAGTTGGCCTCTATGTCTATAAAGGGCTAAGCATCCACAAACTTCAGACCTAGAGCTACATTTTTCAGCGTAAGCCCATCTCTAATTTATCTACATTCTATATTTTCAGATTGCTCCTGTACCTGGATTTAATTTACTTGTGTTAAGATAACGTTTTACATGTTTATAGAACCTTGCATCCCGAATGATCCCAAAATGTTGCAGATACTGTGCACAAACCCCACCACTGAAATGCATCTGCTACTGAATTACATCTGCAGTGGAAGTTGGCAACCAACTGGTTGAATAGCACACTATACAACAGCGGGAGGAGGGAAATAATTGGCCCAGAAACCATAGGGTAAATCATGCCCTTATGAAAGCTATCAGGAAATCCTTCATGTCCAAGAAAAGATGACAGGACATCAGTTTGTAAGGTCTTAACTGAAAGATACCCCTGTACTAAACTGCATGATATTCCATTTACCTTGGAAAGACAAAGGACTAACTTGAGTCTGCTGGGATTTGAACATATGGTTCTAGGTATTTTAAACCTGATGCTAAGGGCCACTAAACTACCTCATCCCATCCCTTCTTGTAGTGACCATAAAACTAATGAGCCAGACTCCCTTGCATACTATGGATGTGTAAAGGAGCTGTAAACCCAGTCTAACGGGTGTTTTGCTTTGCTGAAGCAGTGGAAAGCAGCCTCAGCGCACTGGTGAACCTAGCCCAGTATGTTTCTAAACTAAAGCATTTTCATTTGAATCATTCTTTCCTTATGCTTGACAGAAGGGACCCATTCTAATGATTGCAGCTAGCATTTTAACCATGACTCCATGGCTTTATTTCTCCCTGAAGGGGTTAAGATATTTTACAGAAAGAATATTTCATAAATTATAAGTTTAGCAGACAGATTCTCACAAATCAATTACACAAAAAGCAACTCCCAGTGGTGTAGCTGCAAGCAATCCTGGGTTGTCTTCTGAGTGCTTCTAGAAATTCAGCTGCACCACTGTGAGCTAGATGCCTGTATTAATCTTACTTCCTCTCAGAAGCAAAGTCTGGAAATGCAACAGCACAGTCAGTGTCTCAGTTTGTTTCCTTACTGTAAGGTTTAAAACACAGCACTTATGACAAGAGTGAAACTTGTAATCATTAAATGCAACTATGTTACTAAATATCATTCTAATGCATGAAAAAACAAAAGAAAGGACAATTCAGTTGCTGTTAATCTGAAAGCATTTACTGCTCATTTGAAATTCTTAAACTAATTAACAAACCCGATACTCACATTTCATATGATAAAATATAAAACTGGTAAGTAAAAAGTCAGTTAACTATTTCGAGCAGAAAAAAAGCACTTCCAAATAAGTGAAAAATGTGATTTAATATGCAAAGACATTTTCTATGAAAAATGTGGACCTATTAGTTTTGGCTTAGAACTGGAAAATTGCTGTGTTTTCCCTAAGAAAGAAAGTGTGTGTGTGGGTGGGGAGGATGGGATGGGGGGATGTGCTGTATTTTACATTCCTACAGCTAAGCAGAATGGCAGATGGTCAAAATAATACAATTTTCACCAAACGGGCAAGCTGAAGCAATAGTCATGCAAGCTCTCAACAATACAGGTACTGCACATATGAAAAGCAGGGCAGTTCAAACAGTGTGTAAGAAGGCATAGCCACACCTAAGCATTTAGAATCATCCCCAACATTCCTTTAGCCTTTGGAGTTTGTACATTCCATCAGTCAAAACTTTCTTCTGGCAAGTCCTTAACTATGCAATCAACCTTGAAGGTCCCTCTAAACCATCTTGATTGATAGGTAGACAGCAGCTGCAGAATGAGCAAGTAATAACCACAAAAGATAAAGGCTTTCATACAAATATTGTAATTCCACTTGCAAGCTGTCTGGCATGAACTCAAATTACTTGGCCTTCTTCTAGCAATGGAAGCTTGGAACTTTATTCAGATAACACACTCTAGCCCACTTAACTACGCACCAGTTTAGTGACAGGAAACAGGACAATACCCACATATGTAAAAATAAACAATACATTAATGTAAAGGTTACAATGAGATTTCAAGATTTTCCAACAGCCCAAAGGAGGTTTATCTAAATTTATATTCTAATTTTTTGGGGGGGGAAATAGGCAGCACAAAAGTTCTAACTCATCAAAGCAATTATAAAAATGGCCTAGTAAAAAAGTCCATCACTAAATAATGAACATTAGCGTCTGAGATTCTGATTCATAGATGGCTCCATTTTCGCCCTCTGAAATACACAATTCAAACACAAACACCTACTAAAAGATACTCTAAGCCTAAAATCCTCATTTCAGGTAATGTAAAACAATCAATCATTTATAAGCATGGAACACTTTTTAGATGATACAATGTGGGTTATAAATAACCATTCATCAATCCACTGAGCTTCTAGTTTGACAGGTTATTATTTAAAGGCTCTGGGGTTGCATCCATCTGTGAATCAGGATTCAAGGAGTTAATTCAGTGTTTCAAGCCCTCTTTGCCTAAACCCAGGCTACCGCTGAGCGTATCCAGCCAGCATGCTGCTGTCAGGCTGCTTCCTTCCATTCGATCAGTGCATTGGAAATTGCCCAGACAAACAAACAGAACCGAGGAGCCTGCAAAGGTCACACCTGGCGTGTGGCCGGCCGGCCTGCCTGCTCTCCGGGTCCTAAACCGCACCCCCAATCGCCAGGTTCAGGACACTCTGTGTTTCCCCTCTTTTGTTTTCTTTTCCTCCCCCAGCTGTTCCATTCAGAGGCCCAAGTTCAGCAATCTGCCCTCCCCAGAAAGGGAGGCCCTTATTAAGCTGAGCTAACTCAAAGGGCCAGCACAGCACGTGCCACTCCTTATCGGCCCCATCTCAAGATCCTATTCCATGGTGCTTAGCCAACAAAAAAGTAAATGGACTTAACTCCCATTGGCTCCCCTGCAGCAATTCAAACAAAAGTGCAAAGCAACAAAGACATTTTCCACTATGGCAGGTGTTGGTGTCAGATTCCGCCTGCAGCAAACAGGAGCAGAAGAAAGAATGAAAAAAAAGTATGCGCTTCTCAGACATGCAGGGGGATGCTAACAGGGCAGGCAGCCGGGCTCTTAGAGCTGTTACTCAGAGGTGAGCATAGTCAGGGTCGCTCTTTTCCAGCACAGAGCTTGGAACTCATGTTTTGGGGGAAGAAAAAGAGACCCGGCCTGAAGATGAGGTGGGACTGCAGTGAGAGTGAGAGAGAGAGAGAGAGAGAATGAACCACACAAACCAAGAGTTGTTTCAGCTTTATATTAGCAACAGAAGGAAGGAAGGAAGGAAGCTGGTTAGTAAATCTAGCGTGATGCCAGTGCGGTAGCCTGCTCGAGGTGTCACTCTTACCTTTGTCAATTACCGTAATGAGACCTTTACATATTTTAATCTAAAGGGAAAAAACAAAATCATATAAATAAAGGAACAGCACACCTACTGCTCTGTTATGAGGCTCATAGACATTGCTTACACCCATTTAGTTGTGCAAGAACACTGTGCATCTTAAAGCAAACTAAACATTCAGAAAGTAACTAAGATATCATTCATAAGTGGAAAATAATGATATTCTTTAAAGTTCACAT